GGGCACGGTGTCGAGCACCATCACCGGGGATTCGAGTTTCAAACTCTGTCCCCGGTCAAGGGTACGCACAGTCACTTCCCTCCCTATACCCACCCTCATCCGCAGTCTCTTCCTCGTCCTACTTTTTCCCTGCGTAGATCATATTCTAGTTCCATCTTTGGATACGGGTCAGGATCTTTGTGGCTCTGGGGTTGGGAACACATGAGGCACCCGAGCTCGGGATCCTAACCCATCTAATGACAAACTCCCTAAACTGAATTTTCCCAAATTTGATGGCGAAAACCCACACCTCTCTTCAAGAATCGCTGACTGATTATTTTGAGATGTACGAAGTGGCTCCGCGTCGCTAGATCAAGGTATCCACGATGCATCTCACAGGAGCCACCGCGCGCTGGTTTCTCCATTGTTGAGCAGCAAGTGTCCAGAATGTCTTGGCCACAATTCACTACCTTAGTGATGGAGCGCTTTGGCAAAGACCAGCACGAACTGCTTATCCGTCAGCTATTTCACATCAGGCAGACGGGTAGCGTGCAGGAATATGCTGACAAATTCACTTCTATCGTTGATGGCTTAATAGCTTATGGCAAAAACACTGATCCCATCTACTATGCTATGAGATTTGTTGATGGCTTACGCGATGAGATTCGTACTGTTGTTCATATGAAGCGTCCTGGTACTTTGGATAATGTTGTGGTTCTCGCCTTGTTGCAGGAGGAAATGTTGGACTCGTCGAAGAAGAAAGAATTACGTCATCCGGACGCGTACCAGTGGGCCAAGCTGCCCCCACGCGCGCCACCACCTCCGTTGGTACCTGTCGGGCGCAATGAACGGTAGGAGCGTGCGGCAGGAGCTGTGGTGGGTGATGATGGCCGCCGCGGGCGCGGAGTCGACGCCAAGCTGAACACCCTGCGCGACTATCGTCGGGCCCGTGGCCTCTGCATCAGGTGTGATGAGAAATGGTCTCGCGACCATCGATGTCCTAAGCAAATTCAGCTGCACATACTCCAGGAAGTTTGGGATCTCTGTCATGGTGATGATTGTGATGATCAAGCGGCGCTAGAGGATTCCAATACCGATGCTTAGCTGTTCATGACTCTTTCTTCAGCAACAGTGTCCGATCGAGATTCCACTAGTACAATGCAGTTCAGGGGTGAAGTTCAGGGCAGGCAGGTCCGTATATTATTGGATTCTGGCAGCTCCAATACATTTGTTAGTGCTTCACTTGCAGCTCACCTTCAAGGCAGTTCTGATTGTGATCATCCCACCCGAGTGATGGTGGCCAATGGTACTCAGCTGTGGTGTGATACAGAATTCAAGCAATTGCAGTGGTCAGTACAGCAGTGCTCTTTTGTTTCCGTGGCCAAGGTCCTGCCCCTATCTCAGTACGACCTCATCGTGGGCATGGATTGGCTCGCGGCGCATAGCCCTATGGAAATTGATTGGAGATATAAGTGGATGACTATCACATATGGCGGTACTCAGATGCATTTGCAAGGCCAGTTGGACTCCCTTCCAGTGGGTGCAGTTTTACACATCACAACCGTGAAGGCATAAGGTTTAGGAGCCAGCTCATCATCTGCTCCACCGGAATTAGCAACTTTATTATCTGAGTTCAAGGATGTCTTTGACCCACCCCAAGGCTATCCACCGGCCCGCCACTGTGACCACGAGATTCCTCTCGTTGCTGGTGCCACTCCAGTGCAGGTTCGGCCTTATCGTTACCCTCTAGCTGTCAAGACTGAGATTGAACGTCAAGTTTCAGAGATGCTGCATTCAAGCCTTATCCAGCCAAGCAACAACCCTTTTTGTCTACAGTGCTCTTGGTCAAAAAGAAAGACGGCTCGTTTCTCTTCTGTGTTGATTTCCGTCAGCTGAACGCCATAACAGCTAAGTGCAAATACCATGTTCCGGTTATTGAGGAATTGCTGGATGAGTTACAGGGCGCTTCCTGGTTTTCTTCTCTGGACCTGACTGTCGGCTACCATCAGATACGTTTGCGGCCTGGAGAAGAACCCAAGACGACGTTCCAGACCCATTCTGGGCAATATGAGTTCGGGTGATGGCTTTTGGGTTATCTAGAGCTCCAGCCACTTTTCTTAAGGCAATGAACACCACGTTACATCCGCTACTTCACAAATGTGTTCTGGTTTTCTTTGATGACATCCTCATTTTCAGCAAGACTCATGAAGAACATCTCATCCACCTACGCTTGGTGTTAGAGCTCCTCCGCCGTGACAAATGGCAAGTCAAGATGTCTAAGTGCTCTTTCTTGCAGCGACAACTCCGTTATCTGGGACATGTCATCTCTGAGGCCGGTGTGGCTACTGATCCTGAAAAGATCGTCGCAGTCCAGCAGTGGGCGGTGCCTTTGTCTGTCAAAGATGTGCGCAATTTCTTGGGGCTTGCTGGTTACTACAGGCGTTTCGTCCGGCATTTTGTAGTTATTGCTAAGCCATTGACTGAGTTACTCAAAAAGGGTGTTCCCTTTCATTGGACCGAACCCCAAGCCAATTCATTTCAGGCATTGAAAGATGCTCTTACTTCGGCCCCGGTTCTGGCTCTTCCCGATTTGACAAAACCATTTTGTGTGGAGACTAACGCCGGTGGCATAGGTATTGGCGCTATGATGATGCAAGGGGGACACCCATTGGCTTTTCTCAGTAAGGCTTTGGGTCCACGATCTTAGGGGTTGTCGACATATGAAAAAGAGTATATGGCTATTCTCTTGGCGCTAGATCAGTGGCGTGCCTATCTGCAGTATGGGGAGTTTCACATTTTGACTGATCAAAAAAGTTTGAGCCAGCTGACAGAACAACGGTTTCACACTCCTTGGCAGCAGAAGGTCTTTTCTAAGCTCTTGGGCTTATCTTACAAGATTGTCTACAGACGAGGGGCTAAGAATGGAGCTGCTGACGCCCTCTCACGCTACCCAGTCAGCTCCTGTGCTGCTATTTCAGTAACTGAACCCCATTGGTTATCTGAGTTGATCAAGTCATATAGTGCCGATGAGCAGGCACAGTCTATCATCACACGTCTGACTGCAGATGACCAATCAGTACCCCACTTTACATTCCTCAACGGCCTTCTACGGTATAAATCTCGTTTGTGGGTGGGGGCCGACACTGCCATTAAGCGCCAGTTGATCTCTGAGTTGCATTCCAATCCTATGGGGGGTATTCTGGTATCCCGGTCACTCTCCGCTGACTGAAGCAATACTTTGCCTGGACTGGTATGAACACAGAAGTGCGCGATTTTGTCTCTGGCTGTCAAGTGTGCCAGCAGGCCAAACCTGACCGATCCAAGTTACCAGGTCTTCTTCAACCCCTTCCAGTTCCAGATCGGGCTTGGCGGATCATCTCTATTGATTTCATTGAAGGGTTGCCAATGTCGGGGTCTGTTAATTGCATCTTCGTCGTGGTTGACACCTTTTCTAAGTATGCCCACTTCCTTGGATTGAAGCATCCGTTCACTGCAAGTACTGTGGCCAAGCTTTTCTTCTCCAATGTCTTCAAGCTTCACGGCCTGCCCCAAGCCATTGTGTCGGACAGAGACCGCATCTTCACGAGCAAGTTTTGGCAGGAACTCTTCCAGCTGGCCAAAGTGGACCTGCGCATGTCTACTGCTTATCACCCGCAGTTCGATGGCCAGACCGAACAAGTCAACCAATGTCTTGAGACCTTCCTTCGCTGTTACACGCATGCATGTCCTAAGCAGTGGAGCCGATGGTTGGATTTGGCTGAGTACTGGTATAATACTAGCTTCCACACTGTAGTGGGTTGCTCCCCATTTGAAGTGATGTATGGCTATGCTCTTGGTGCATTCGGTATTGAGGCTGCTCACAACTCTCCCATCACTGATCTAACCTCTTGGTTATCTGATCGAACTCTCCACACTGAGCTCATCCGGCAACATCTGCTACGTGCCAAGCAACGCATGAAGAAGAATGCTGATATGCACCGCTCCGAATGGCATTCGAGCTCAATGACTGGGTCTACCTCAAGCTCCAACCGTATGTTCAATCTTCTCTTGCTGAGCATTCCCATCATAAGTTGGCCTTCCGGTTCTTTGGACCTTATCGCATTTTTGCCAAGGTCGGTTCTGTGGTGTATCGCTTGGAGCTTCCACCCTCGTCTGCCATTCATCCAGTTTTTTCACGTCTCCCAACTTAAAAAGGCGGTGGGTGTCGATCAGACTGTCACTCCTGAAGAATCTTCAGTTTGGAGTATTCCGGAAAGGATTCTGCAGCGGCGCTACCTACGCCAAGGTACGGCTTCTATTCTGCAGGGTTTGATCAAGTGGACTCATCTTCCGGAGTCGCTGGCAACCTGGGAGAAGCTCGCTGATCTGCAGCAACAATTCCCTCGCGCTCTGGTCTGGGATCAACCAGGCGCGCAAGAAAGGGGAGTGTCACCAGTGTCTGCGGCAACAACCGCAATGACGCCGATCGGGCAAGCTCCGAAGGCAAGAAGAAGGCCCAGGGAAGGAAGGATCGCCAAGCGCGGCCCAAATCCAGGAGTGTACGCTTCTTCGGCCCAGAGTGGCATCATGAGTGAGCCTGTGCGACGTGGGTGTGCGTGGCCCAGAGTGACCCTAGAGGGTGTCGGGTGTGTGCTTGAGTCGCCGTTCGGCTTATATGCTGTGTAGAGGACAAAGCAGAGGGGTATGAACAATTGTATGAACTCTTCTCCAAGTAATCGAGATTCGTCCGTGCTCGTCCCGGTGCTCTGCTTCCCTTCCTAAGTTCCGATTCTTCACTTCCAATCCCGGTTGCTTTCTCCTTCCTCCGATTGCTGCTAACACCTTGCCCCTCTCCCCGTCCATCGCCTCGCGCACGAGCCGCGCCACCTCCTCGCTCGTCACAGTGTTGTCGATCTCCATCCCAATCCCCCATTTGTCACACACGTACCGGCAGTTCGTCGGTTGCTCAGCGAAGAACGGCCAGCAGAGCATCGGCACGCCGGCGCATATGCTCTCCAGCGTTGAGTTCCACCCGCAGTGCGTCAGAAACAGACCGACGGACGGGTGCGAGAGCACCAGCTCGCCAGGATTCCCCTTTCTTTGGTGTCCGTGACGAACCCCTCCGGCAGCATGGCGTTCTCGCCGGACACGAGGTCCGGCCTGATGACCCACAGGAACAGCGAGCCGCAGCCCGCCAGGCCCCAGGCCAACTCGGCGAGCTGAGCGGCGGTCATCACCGTGATGCTGCCGAAGTTGACGTACACCACCGAGCCCGGGCGCTGCGTCTCCAGCCACCGGAGGCAGCCCGTGTCCTCCTTCCAGAGGTTCCCGCCGATCTCGTCCAGCCCGCCTCCTCCCGCGGCGTTCGCGAACGTGGCGAGCGGGCCGACGGTGTACACGCGCGGGAACTCGCGGCGCAGCGCGTCCACCACGTCCTGCTCCAGCGCGTCGTACGTGTTGAGGATGACCCCGCGGGCCTTGCGCGCGTTCTGCGCCTCGCCGCCGTCGAAGTTGAGCATCACGTCGTCCCGGTCCGTCGTCCTGATGAAGCTGGGGATGTCCTTCAGACGGATGCCCGGCATGCCGGGGATCCAGTCGATCGCGGTGTCCAGGTACCCGTTCGTCAGGTCACTTTCGTCTAAGCAGAGTGCACAACAAGAACAAAGACGTCACATTGCAGCCCTCGGTGTGCAGCTAGTTAATTTTGGCAAATTATTGGTTTCAGATCAGATCCGAGCTCAACTCGATGCAATTCTTGTCTGAATCCGACAGAACTGATGCAATACTAAGGTACGTGACATTTGGAGCAGTATAATAACGAGACAAGCATATCTAGCTGGTGCTAAATGACAATCACTTTTAGCAGTACCGTAAACCTCATTGTTACTTTGCTAGAACCTATGTTTTCACGCTTCATCAAACAACACGTTCCTTGCTTGCTTTGATTTCCTTTAGGGCTTGTTCGGTTCGGCCGGTTTAGCCCGGAATGCAGCCCAATCCGGGTGGATTGGAACGGCCGGAAATGGAGTCAGGCATGGCTTGGATTCGCTGTTCGGTTAGATCTGGCCCGGAATGGAAACAGGTCTGGTGCGGTTTTCCCCCCTCTGCTCACGGCCCGGATTCATTCCCCACCTCGTCCCCTCCGGAACGGAGCCTGGCCACTCGCTCGGACTCCTCTCGGTCCTCCCTCTCGCCGCCGCGCAGCCCTCTCCGGCGGCCCCCTCAACCGAGACCTCCCGTCGGCACCGTCCCACGACCTCGCCGGCGCGAGCTCCGCCACGGCCTCGCCCTCTCCTTCCCGGCCACGCGGGAGAGCCCCAGGCCGCGCGCGCCAAGACTCCACCGTCGCCACGCTCTCACGAAGGCGCGCGGGGAGAAAAGAAGATGGCGAAGCAAGCGCCTGGGCATGGTGGCGGACGAGGACTCGCCGCTCTCGGCGCCGTCCGTGCTCACGGAGGTGGTGGCGCGGTCGTCCCCGCTCCTGCCGCCGCTCCGCCGCCCCACGTTCGTCGTCGCCAGCCTGCCGTGCTCCGCCGCCTCCTCCCCGGTGCACGGCGCCGGCACAGGCATCGGCGCGAAGTGGGAGGAGCAGGACCAGACGGCCGCCACCCACAGCCCGACATCCGCGCTGAGCTCCCTCGCCCGGCAGCACTCCGCCGCGCTCGCCAGGCTCGTCGCCGCGCCGCCGTCCGCGCTGTCGAGGTCCGTGTCGCGCGCCGAGGGGAGGACCATGGCCCCGCACGACGACGAGGAGCCCGATGGAGATCCCAAGCTGCTCGCGGCCGAGGATGGCTTCACGTGCGGCGCGCTGTGCATGTTCATCCTGGGCTTCTCCAGGAAGAAGCCCGCCGCCATCGCCGCTGCTGGCACGACGCGGCCGACTGCCTCGCGATGGAGGTGGCCAAGACCAGCTGCGCTGAGGACGACGCGGAGGCGCCGGTCAAGATGGCGTTCGTGTTCGACGGCGAGCCGCCCGCGTCGGCGACGAGGGGGATACTGAAGAACTCTTCGTCGTTGCGGCTGGACTCGGCCCGGCACGTGAGGTTCTCGATGGCGGTGGCGGCGGACGCGTCGGCGTCGTGCCTGATGTCGCCGTGCATCACGCCGCACCTGGCGAGGGCCAGGGCGGAGTTCAACGCCTTCTTGGAGGCGCAGAGCGCATAGCTGGAAGGCGTGCACTCGAGTGTTTCCTCAGCACTGATATTCTCTTGCGCGGCGACGACCGTGCGGCCACAAGCGGCGAGCATTCCGTCTCGCGGTTGATGCATGGCGGCCATATGTTTCCCGTGCTTCGATTTTGTTTTTCTTAGTGCACGGACACATCTTGTATCTGGGGTGCGAATCAATTTTCGACCTGTTCGTTTAGAGTGGATTGGCAGGATTAAATCCTGGCCGGATTGAGTGACACGGGTGGAATCACTCAAACCGGGCCTGGAAGTAATCCTGGCCGGGATCCAATCCGGAATTGTTCCATTTGATAATATGCTATATAAATTAACAAAGCAATCTCGGTAGGAATAAATTCAGGTCATGAATCCCTAAGAAACGAACGGGCCCTAAGGGACCATTCGGTTATTCAGGAATGGAGGCAGGAACCGATCCAGCTGATGAATTGATACACAAATTACTCAATCAATCCAGCTGGGAATAGTTTCAGGACATGGATCCTAGTCAACCGAACAAACCCTAAGGGACCATTCGGTTATTCAGGAATGGAGGCAGGAACCGATCCAGATGATGAATTGATATGCAAATTACTCAATCAATCCAGCTGGGAATAGTTTTAGGACATGGATCCTAGTCAACCGAACAAACCCTAAAACGTCCTTTCGACAGGAACGGCCTGGAACGTGGCCCGTTCCACCTGGAATGATCTGGCCCGGTTCGAAATCGGGTCAGAAGTGAAACGGTTGTTCGGTTAGGTCTGGCCCGTAATGAAATCTGCTCGATCCTGGTCTTTCCCCCTCCCTTTCGTCCCGGAACAGAGCCACACCATCTTAGGTCCGGATTCAATCCTCCACCTGGTTTGAGTGACACGGATGGAACCACTTAATCCTGCCCTGGAATGAATAATGGTGGAGAACGATTCGAGAGTTGCCGAACAAGGCCTTAGGACGAGGAGCCGCACTCAAGTTCTGCTTCTGAAATCTGAACTTGTGTCTAGCTCCAGGAACCACTGATTACGCGTGTCGTACGATGGTGTGAACGTCACGACTCACAAGGCAAGGGAGCGGCAGTCCATCTGTACGCGGCCCATCCTCAGTTTGGGAGCAAAGTACGTCGGCTTATTTTGCGCTCAACAAATTATTCAAGCCCAATCAAATGGGATTGACGGCCTCGTCCATTTCTATTTTGGCGCGGTCCAATCTTCGTGACAACAAAAGAATGGATTTTTTTTATAAAGGTATGGGCCTGGCTCAAAGACAAGGACTTTCCGGATAAATTTTGGGATTGAATCAAGTTGATGTAAAAGAAATGGAAATTTTGTAGATTTCAAAAAAAATGGAAATTTTGTACAGCGCGTTGATATCAGTCCAGGGCCCATTTAGGTCAATCTCAATAGAAATTTCATGAGAGTTTCATGAGCTTAATAAGCTGATGTGATATAGTATTAATGAAGTGAGATATGATAAAAATTTAATGAGATGAAATGAGTTTCATAACGATGAAACTTGTCTACACGGTTAACACATATGAGACTTGGAAACAATGAGATAAAACTCGCAAGAGACTGGCCTTAAGTGAATATCACAGATTCCATCAGCTCTATGATCCCTATTTTCAAATGTAGGGACCATCAACAACATTTATAACTGTCATAAATCTTTCTCGCAGACACCAATTTCTCTATCAGGCTAATCTCGGTGGGAGTTTGTCGGTGCTTTGAGTTGTCACCGACAAGTAAATTTCTAATATTACGCCTCTGGCTCGGATGGTGTGCTAAGAGGACACGAGGTTTATACTGGTTCGGGCAAAATGTCCCTACGTCCAGTTCGTTGCTGCTGCTCGTGTTACTAGCACTAAAAGTTCGTAGTAGGGGTTACAAACGGTTAAGAGAGAGACATGTCCCAAGTCTCTGGTGAGAGGAGCGAACGGGTGCCGAGAGCTCGATCGCTTCTCGGTTGTGTACTTATGTGTTCTGATCGGTTCGGGGTTAGATGGGTTCGAGTCTGAATCGATGTGATGTATTGCGATGCCACTTATGGGACGCCCTGCTTTCCCTTTTATAGGCCAAGGAAAAGCATGGGTTACAGTGAAGGAAGAAGAGGAGAGTGAGAAGGAGAGGACATCCCCCAGGTAAGGTTGGGTCCTTCTTTTCCTTCATGTGGGTCCCGCCGCCCCTGTAGACGTCAACAGGGATAGTTCCATGTCGCGGCTCTGTCCGTCACGTGGCACCATACGCAGGCGTCGTCTCCCGGTCGTGGCACTCCACTCCGTCCTGGCGGACGTCGTGGTGAATTGACGCGCTGTCGATTGCTTTCAGATGAGGGTTAAGCGAGCAAAGACCGCACGCATTGACGACGCCTGCTTCGATATGAATCTCGGTATGGCCCGTCACGGCCACGAGTTTATATCGGGGTGTGCCGGTCACCTCCTTGGTGTCAGAGCTTCGACCCAGGCCCATTCGCTTGGACCTGGAGTGGTTGGCGGCGGTATGGGTCTCCGTCGGGCAAGGCGGAGCTCGCCCTCAGAGGCCGGGTGGTGGGTGAGCCGGCCCTCGAGAGGTCGAGGCGGCGCAGCCCGTCCCCTCGAGAGGCGGGCAAGGCAAAGCCAGCCCCTCGGGAGGCGGGAGGAGACCCGCCTAGAATCCAGGGCGAGCCCGCCCTGAGGTCGAGGCGAGCGGAGCGCAAACCCAAGGGTCGGACGAGGCGGAGCCCGCCCCCTGAGTTCGGGCGAGGAGGAGCCCGCTCTCAGAGGTCGGACGGGGCAGAGCCCGTCCTCAGATGCCGGGCTAGGCGGAGCCAGCCCTCAAAGGCCGGGCGAGGTGGAGCCCGCCCCCTCGAGGCCGGCGCCTCTCGGCGAGCGAGGCTGCATACTAGGGGTCGAGTTGAATTGTAGTCGTCGCGCTTAATCGCTCGGATGAATCAATGTTGATGGTTATTAGCTCCTCCTCTTCGGGTACCCTAGTATCGGTCCCCAGATAGTAGCCCCCGAGCATGCGGAGGAGTAGAATACTCCTTCGAAGGCTTTTTCGAACGGGAGGACTCTAAAGGCCTCGACCTTCTTTTGTTGCCCACAGCGTGACCTGGGGGCGGTGATTCCCTTTCCTCTAGCCTCCTCCCATAGCAGGGGCCCGGTTGAGGATCGGTTCGTCTTTGCGATTGTCTTTGCTCAAACGTTTTTTCCGATAAAAACGGAGAGGCCAAGCCGTGCCACGATTTTCCTTTAAGGACGAACATAGCATCCGGTGAGCTATTAATGGGCTAGTATAAGTGGGGCCCCGGCATCCCGTTCGTGGGGATCCGGTTTGGGTCGGCTTGGTGACTGACCCCAAATTCTCAGCGATCAATCCATATAGTTTTCGGGTCCGTTCGACCGATCCCGAGGGCTAAGTACCTTTCTTCGAAAAAACCATGGATCATCAAATGTATAAATTATGTGCTTTTTTCAAATGATAATTATCAGATGTGATAATTATTTCGTTTGGAAGATTCCTTTATTTTTTCCTTGACCTCATCCAAACGACTCTTTCTCCAAAAAATCCTATGTTTTTAATTCAGCTATTTACACGTGCATTCCTATTCTATTCCAGTGTCCTACACTCCTACGTTTTGATAATCCTATGTCTCAAAGGAGGTCTAAATGTCTATAAAACAAAATAATAAAACTATGCATTGAGAGGAATGATTCATCCATATTTCATTGTATATTTTTTAAATGCTACAAAACTTTCTACGGAAAAATAGCCTTATTAGTCTGCTCGTTTAAGCTTGCGCTTGCTGCGGTTGCATCTGCGGCTGCTAGCAGTAGTTGTTTGCTGCATTCGCGGTCGCAGCAAATGTGCACAGCCTCGATCCTAACCGTTTTTTAGGAATTAGCCTCTGGTAGCTGTTACGTGCGCTACGTGCATAGGTGGTGTACAATATCTTGGCACTAAATTTTTGAAAGCAGACTGGAGGGGCCTAAACCCCTACAGTGAATATCTTGGCACTTTGGCAGTCCTTAATAAAATACCAAAGAAAAGCTATCTTGGCGAAGTAACATTTGGATTCCTCAGCGCGCAACGACATCTGAACGCCCACGTGGTCACGTACGCCGGCATGGCCTCCTTGTTTCTTGGACTAACGTAACTACTAGCAGCAGCATTGAGAGGTCAGACGGCTACCAGCTCGCTCCTGCCGGCGTGGCCTGATTGGCTGTTTCGTTTTGACTTCACACTATTTATAGTGTAGTCGTCGGTCAAAATGACACCCGATAATATATAATCACGTCGTTGGGCTGGCCAGATCTCTCAGTTTTTTAGCTCGGTTTGACCCTTGGACAGTTACGTTGGTCGTTGGACCCCTGTATTTCAGCACTCAGCAGCCGCCCGATCGCGATCGCAAAATCTCTCACTCATTCTCTCGTCATGATGTGCTTTGACGTCAGGAAGGGCGTCATGCTCCCGAACCGAACCGATGGTCCCCGGTGGTATCGTCGTCTCCACCATGGCAGCAACAGCGGGAGAGCTCTACCATTACGCGAGATGCTACGGCCCCGTTCGCTTCGCTGAAAAAAACGAGCCAAAATACCGTTTTGATTGATTTATTGTGAGAGAAAAATATTATTTAACTGAAAAAATAAGCTGAAAAATATATATTATAAGAGAAGCGAACGTGACCTACATTTACTGATCCCTCAGTGAGCCACGTCATCAGTTTTCCCTGCACATCCGATTCCACATCAACGGCAGCAGATCAACAACTCCGGAAACTTCCACACCTTCCCGGCCCTGCAGCCCACCGCGCTTCTACGGTGCCGCACTGCCGCTGCAGCTCCTGCATCCGCCGCGCGTGAGGCAGACCCGACCCCCTCCGCTTCTCCTTCACTCTCTCCCTCACGCCTCCCTCGGCCTCCACCGCCCGCTCCGCCTCTCCGTCGGTCGCCTCCCACATGGCCGCCCTCCCTCCCTCTCCTCCCCCCGGCGCGGCGAGGCAGCCTGCGCCGCCGGGCCTCGACGCCTCGCGCAAGCCCTACCACGGCCGATGCCGTTCGCGTCGACCGGATGCCCACCACGTCAGACCCCACGCGCCGCGGCCCCTCCTGCGCTCCCCTCACCCTTATCCTCTCCCCAGCCCCCACCGATGGACCAGAAGATTCCTCGGCGCAGCGCTCCGCCCGCTGCACGCAGCCGGGCCACCGGCGTCCTGGCGCCGCTGCCCGGCGCCGTCCGCCCCTCCCCCGCCTCGGACCTCCGTGTCCACGCCCTCAGCTCGCCCTCACCTCCTATTCCTCACCCGCATCATCGAGGCCAGTCCCCCAGGCACGCTGCTTCCTCCAGCGGAATCGCATTGCTTCGTCTGCCCCTCCATCCGTGTTGTGCCCAGGCCCATCGTCATGCCCTCTGCATCCAGCATCATCAAGTCTTCGATCAAGGGACACCATGTCGGCAGTGGATCTTTTGGTTCAGTGTATGACGCGATTAGCGAGTAAGTTTGGATGTTGGCTTGCCTAGGATGTCGGTGATTTGCCTATACAGCATTTTTTGTTACTAACCAAATAACCGTGCTGAGGTTTCTGCAGGAAGAAGGATGGAGATGGACATATCTACAGTTGAACTTCTCTGTGTTCTTCGCTGTGTTGATCAACAAAAGAATGGTACTGTATCCGGCTTCGTTCAAAAGATGACAGGCGTATAATGAGATAAGTGGCAAATTAAAAGAGAAACATGGTAAACGAGATTTTTATAACAAGATAGCTGAAGTAGTCAGTAAAAGACTTCGATATCTTCTCAATGGAGCACTTATTCATGCAGGTAACAGCTATGTACTGATCTGAAATTTTGTTCGATTAATGCCTCTTTGCATCCATTCTAAATTTGTAATGTTACTTTCAGTTCTAAATTTGTAATGTTGCTTTTAGTTCTCATCTTTCTAATATTGATGATTCCTTTACCATTGCAGTTGCTGCAATCGATCCTCCAGAATTATACAGGTCAAGCCTCGCAAAAAAGTGAAGTTCCCAATTTGCTTTAACCTTGCCAATCAAGAAGGTTGCAAAGTGAGCTTCAGAAACAGCAGGTGCAATTGATCAATTTTCTCGGTTCAACCAAATGAGAGGATTATTTGGAGATCCAGAAGCTCGGTGGTCAGCAATAAATGGCAAAACCAGCGCAGGTATTGATCTGTTGTTACTCCTGTTAGTGTGCAGCTAATACCTCTGAAATAAATTGCCTGATAGTGATCATGTCCTTTGTAAGCTCCTGCAACTTAACTTTTTTTTTAATTAATTGCAGCTGACTGATGGGGTTCTTTATGTAGGACAGTGTCCTGAATGTTGTCGACCTATTACATCTGTTGCAAAAGGTTTTAATGAATTCATGTTCCTTCTTGCCTGTTTAAGAGCATTGCCCTATGAAAAACGCAGTCCTCATGGTTGCACTTTGCTACAGGGCAGATGCGTTCACAGGTTTGTAAATGAAGGTGCTAAAAACACATCTGACCTTTGTATTATGTTATCCTGCTGTATATGAAATCGTAGGATGCTTGATTCTGCCGCTTTTGTGGGTTCCAATGTGTTTACACCAGAGATTATGGACAGCTATGTATGCTCTAGCTCTAGGATCAGGTTTAGGTGGTTTATCTTACCTATTTACTTTCGAGACATTTTGCCTGTGTCAGAGATTATGGATAGCTATGTGTTCTCTACCTCTACCTGTGGGATCGGGTTTAGGTGGTTTAGGTTTCCGATTTACTTTCGAGAGATTTGCCTGTGTCAAATCCATCTATTCTACAGAATGCTTCAAAAATTTGAAGACTATTCCATGTCCACTGTTTATATTAGTACAAAATACACTTTTTAGTGATCCAATTACAGTACATACTTTCATATCACCATCTTCGTTTCTGCCAACAATTATATTTCATTGCACATATATGTGTATTAGATTATGCTTTCTTCCTTTCTGTGTACATGCCATGGTGCATAGCTCCCTTTGTGTTTTGTAGCCAACACTAACTCCTGTTGTATTGTTTTCATGCCTACAACCTGCATGCTCAATACAATACAATTGTTATTATCTACCTTTGTTGAATGAAGATCCAATCGAATAAGAACTCCCCAGTAATTGACCTGCAGGTAGTCAGGAGAATGTATTTACTTTAGGATTGCCAAATATTTGTTCTCATGTCCAAGGCCTTTTGTTTTGTCAGCATACATTCTGCCAGTTAGTTCAGGTAACCAGCAGCCAGTATACAAGATGCCAGTTGTTCTAGCAGGTTCATCTTCTCTCCCCATTTCTTACCAGATTAGTTCTTCCCAATATTATTAGCGACTAATTTCCTTTCCCGAATAATTGCCTGATCCATCATCATGTTCTCTTCATAATTTTGGTAAGTATAATCTTTACGAACTGCACTACGACACCCCATCGTCAAATTTACAATCCAGCATTGATCTATTTGTCATTTTTAAGTTGCTTCGCACATGCTCAATACAATTCAACTATAATAGTTAGATACATGTCATCTCTTTTGATTTGCAACTATATTGTCTGTTGATGCCGGACCACCAATCTACATGTAGCACAGCTTTGTCACCCCTCTTGCCGTTTCATTTTTTATGTGCTTATTGTTTGCTAATTGACATTTACTTCATGTTTTTTCCTTTTATCCTACAGGCCTCCAGTTTTCCAGATGTTTCACGTAGAATATATCCCAGATTGCCCAAGCATGAGCAAGAATTTAGATATTCGTAGTTTCGAATAACCATATTGTATTTTATGATGAGAAGATTGTGAAACGTGATTAAATCTCTGAGGCGTCAGTATCTAAGGATACTAATGTGTCAAATGTATTCAACTGTTTTTATGAGCAAAATTATATGCTACAGATTGCTAGCCCACGCAACTGCGTGGGGTTCCTGCTAGCAAGAACAGATGGCGATCTTCCTGCAGAGGGCAGCAAGAGCAGGCCGGAGCCAAACAACAATGTGTGGTGTGGCACTGGCACGTACGGCGACAAGGAGAGTCGATACAAAAACTGGGTGATCACTTGCGTCGCTGGAGGATGCGATCCATAGAATTAGCCCGTGTGCCACCCCTCTCCAGATATGAGACATGTGGAGGGGCTCAGGTTTGCACTCTCACCCCAAAAGCAATCCATGTTGCCATTTGCCAAGTTGATGCCCAGGACGAGCCCTCCGTCCATCTCCAAATCTGACTGATGGAACAGTTCCACAGTTCCGCCGTTCCGGACAGGGGAAGGACAGTCGAAGACGTCCATGGTAGGTGGCTAGGTTCCATCACGGGTAGCTCCAACGTGGCGGCTAAGGACAAGTTGAGCCTTTATTCTCCTAGCAAGGCGCCATGTCATTGAATTCTATACGAAAGCATCCAGTTCCCAAGTTTGGTTTCGATGATTAATGACGACATGAGATTACTGTAATTAACGTGTGTTTTGTAGAGGTAACTTGAGTTAGGTCATGGTAATGCTGATTAATTGGGCAATTATGATTTTCATGCCCCTATCGATGGAAATCGTTTCGGTTTTCAAAAGATGGACGATAGTGTTAAGGACGGACTAGTTTTAAGTGTCGTTTGACGTTGAAGAGACACTTAGAGTAGCTTAGAATTTTATTTTTCCTTTGGCCGTACTATTAAGGGGGTATAAGAGGGTATGAACTAGTAGTTTGATCTAGGTGAATCTAATGGTTTAGGTGTGGTGCACACTTGTCAAACTTACCACTGGGTAGCTCAAGGACAACACATAGATCAGTTGAAGTCGATGCCGTTCACAAAGTTGGTAGAATTAGAGGTGAATGGAGACTTGGACGATGATCGGACACTGGACCGGACGCACAGGTGCCGTGTCCGGTCAGCGTTAGCTCGCACAGCTAGGGCTTGCTCATCGACCGGACACTAGCTCCTAGTCAGGATCGGACGCGCAGGTGTGCACAACTGAAGAGCGAGCATCACTCACGAAGGACCGGACGCTGTGACCTGACACACTAGAGGCCGCGTCCGGTCAACAACAGTAAGCTTCTAAGAGAAGGAAATTGCTGACCGGACGCGTCAGATGAGTGGTGATCGGACGCTGGTCAGAGTCTGGTCTCTGATGACTATGCTAGCGTCATGTAGCCGTTGGACCCCAACAGGTATGTTTTGAAGTAGGGAGTATAAATACTTCCCCCACTTGTCCAACTTACCTCTCTTGCTCATTTGTTCAGCTGAGAAACACCTTTGGAGTGCAAGGGAGAGCAAGAGCCTAGCGGGGTGATTGGAATTTTATAATCCAAGATTAAGGACCTCATTAGTGCATAGGGAGTAGCAAGTGTGCATGCACCTTTCTCATTAGGCTTGTCTTGGTCAAGTGAGAGTTTATACTTGTTACTCTTGGTGATCGCCATCACCTAGACGGTTTGGTGGTGATTGGAAGCTCGGTGATCATCCGACGGAGCTTGTGGATGACCCAAGTCATGCTGTGAGCAGTTGTGGGCGATTCACCGTGATGGAGTGTCGAAGAATCAGCCCGTAGAGAGCACTTGATCCTTGCGCGGATCAAGGGGGAGCTACACCCTTACGCGGGTGCTTCAACGAGGACTAGGGGGGAGTGGTGATTCTCCGATACCTCAGAAAAACATGGCCGCGTTCCTCTCCTTCTCTTTACTTTGAGCATTTACATTTAAGCAATTCAATTCATGTATTTACATTCTTAGAATTATCAAGCTAGATTAGGATTGGAACCTAGTGTGCAAAACTTTTATGCGGTAGAACAATAGAAACACTTCTAGGCACAAGAGGGTAAAATGGGCTAAGTGTAGGGTTTAATTATTACAAAAAATTTAGAATTAGTCCAATTCACCCCTACTCTTAGACATCTTGATCCTTTCACTATACTAACAAAAATTTGCTCTAATGTATAATTTCTTGCCATGCTGCTAATGTGGTATCATTGAACAATCAAATATCAATATTATATGACCAACAACTTTCTCCACACATTTTATTCTGGTTCTTCCAATAGCCAACCTAAAAGTATTTTTGTTTACTTTTTGCACCGGGTGCCTAAATATGCTACAGATGCTTACATATTCTAAGCTACCACCTTTGCTCCAATGCATTGTACCTTTTCTACTCATTTCTCTCACTTCCTTGTACGTCCTTAGTGCGCATATTAGAGCTGCCCTAAGAAGGTGCAAAGAGGAGAGAGAAGTGCAAGAAGGTGCAATACATTAGAGAAAAGGTGCTAGTAAAGAATATACTAGCCCATCTACACATGTTGCCGATGCAAATTATGTGGAAGGCTATTATAAGAGACGGTTGGAGAAGAATAAAATTTAAGGTTGTTATCTAGATCTATTTCTTAGCACCTTCCGTACGTGGCAAACTTTGCATCTCATCACAACAATATACTCCCTCCATCGTCCTAAAAAAAAGTCACCTAGAGTTATATGCATGTTAACTTTTGTTAAATTTGACTAAATTTGTAAAAAAAGTTAACAACATTTGTATCTCTAAATAAGTTTATTATAGAAATATATTCAATGATTAATTTAATAAACTTATTATATACCATAAATATCTATAATCTTTTGGATATATTTGATTAAAGCTGAAAATACTTGATTTCTTTAAAAAAAATATGAATGGCACTCTCTATAAGACAACGACGGAGAAAATGCAAAGTGGCCGTCGGAGTCTCTCCAACCGCTTGCTAGACGAGATCGTTGTGTGCGCATTAGCCCCCTCGTTTTCATTATTATTACAGTATTGTTAAGTCTCCTCTGCCGTCGGTGAGCCGGTCCAAGGAAGCAGCTGATGTCCGGATCACCGGGCGGCGAGCCGGTGACATCGCGGCGAGACTTTTTCGGCAGGGATCGGACGACATGCTTTCTTCTGCGTATACGGCCAGAGTGCATTGAACGTGACTCGATCAACTAGCTTGACTGAACTGTACAACGGTTGTTGGAGCATGGAAGACGACGATGCCTGAAGCACTGGAGCCGCCCCCTGGCAATGCGTGGAGTGGAGTCGGTAGGGACCCACACGGGCTTCATTGCAGATGGGGAGGAAGCTAGGGTAAGTAAGGCACAGTAGAAAGAGGCTGCTGGTAAATCTTTGTACCCCGGGACTCAGGAGTCAGGAGTCAGGAGGCAAAAGTTTATCAAGCCACGTCTGAGTTGACCAACGACTCAGCGAGTCAACGATAAGATCTAGCGAATTGAGTTCATTATGGTTCCCATTTTACATGGCCAACAACTGAAGTGATACATATATACAGCACGTGAACAAGAAGCGGATTTACTATGGTGGAAATGGAGCGTGACTCAGTAAACTACCTCATCACGTTTGTGTGTGTAAAAAGGATTTTGGTGCGGACAGGCAAGTCTCTGCAAGATCTGTCCGATCGTATCAAAAGTCTGAACGGCAATTGTCTGAAAGTGGGTCTGGAACGGATAGGTTAACACGACAATCATATCTTGCATAAACAATTGCGCAGAGATTTGCATAGGTTTTTTGCCTTCAGAGGCTTCAGCCAGAGTAACAGACTAAATAAATTAATTAATGTCCGAAAGCGGAACTGGAAATGATACGTGAACAACATGCCGCTTTCACAAACTAGTCCCCTCCGGTTACGTAGCGAGGATGTCACCGGAGATGACAAATGCAAGTATATGATCTATACTCTAGATCTGGGCTAAAGACTTCGTTCATCGAGAAGACGATAACCACATTGTTACTGCCTTGGTTGCCAATTCGCTGATATTTTTGGCCTGACACTCCCTCTATTCCATAATACAGCTATTTTTAGATTTTAGTCTAAATCAAACTATATTAGGTTTAATCAGATTTATAGGAAAAAAACAGTACATAGCGCAACAAATTATCATCATACATACTAGATTATTTTCTCAATTTGCTTATTCGGTGTCATAAGTGTGATTATTTTTTCCTATATATAACTTTGATTAAAATTAAATTTTGACTTGTGACAAACTTATAAGTAGCTATATATTTGGGACCGATATGTAATACATAAATCAGGCACCAGCATGTATCAGTTCAACAGAGCTGCATTACTGGCACGATACAGTTAGCAGAAAATGAAGCTAGTTCATCAGCACTTCACGCAATCACATGGAAGTGTTGATCAAGATTTCAGTGATTAATGAATCATAAACACTTGGTCGGAGACACAGACAGTTTGCTCAAGAACTCAATGGCCTGACCTGACGGTTGTGTGAAATTGCAATATCTAAGAGTGCATCTGGAAAATGATGTGTGTATGTGCAATGTTGCTTCCACGGAGAGTACTATTACCGTATAATCCTACTAGTCCTAAGGTTCTGGTTGGATTGCAGATGTTAAATTTAGTCCCTCCTAAATGGTTTAGTCCCATTTAGTCATTCCAGAGTTGCTAGAGAGGACTAAAGCACTTTTAGTCCCATTTAATCATAGTGTTTGGGGTAAAAAGTGACTAAATGAGACTAGATTTAGGAGCTCCTAGCTGAAGCAAACACCCCCTAAGTACATTTCAGATAATGAACATTTACTTGATAATACTGCAAATTTATAGGGATATGACTAAATGTTGAAGTTCATAAGTGTCGTGGCTGCCTCAAGCGTTGACCTGCAGTTTTAAAAGTTATACTTATGCATCTAGCTAAACGGCACTTCACGACAAGTTAAGGGTCTACTTGATTTTCTCTTTCAACAATTTTGTAGATTTTTTTTATTTTTGACACTTTTTTAAAACT